CAACGTCGCCGGGCACTGATCCCACACGGACACGCGCGCGCCCCTTCCCTTTGCCCAGTCCCTCTACTTGCTGCGCTGTAGCACGATGATTTTACTCATGATGCGTCAGGACACACAGCCGTGCGTGACTGCCGGATTCACACGCAACGCCGTAAGCAGTATGACCCCGCCCACCACCTTCTTCTCCCTCCTTTTCTTTGCCGCGTGACGGACTTTTGCACGCACGCTTGCGCGTCGGCGTGGCGCCACGAGGTCGAAGTGTACCCCGCACGCCCATCAGTGGCGCGCCGGGGAATGGAACTGACCGAGAGCACGTGGCGTTGGGGATGCCGAGTGGGCGCCGATGATGACGCTGACCCTGCTCCGCTACTGACGCTGTGACGGTGATACGAGACTCTTCAGGGCTTCTGACGTGCGCCTTCGCCGCGGCTCCCCAACCCCATCCCCATCCCCTCCACTTTCCCCCTCCCCTCAATGCACCGCCCTCGGCGCACCCCGCCAGGCCCACCAGCTACCACGTGAAGCGTATACCTTCAGTCTTCGCGGAGGTCGTTCTACTGGGCCCAGAGGTGCGATGCTGCCGCGTCCGCGGGCGGCGGCGGCGACGGCGGCGGCGGTTGCGCCGTGCACGGCACAAGAACACCGCCGACCAAGCAACAGGACGTGATGATCCATGCAAGCACTAAATCGACACTGAGTCGGAAAGCACCTCGTGACGCACTTGTGACAGACCATGGAGAGGCTCGAGCGACAACGTCGCCGGGCACTGATCCCACACGGACACGCGCGCGCCCCTTCCTTTGCCCAGTCCCTCTACTTGCTGCGCTGTAGCACGATGATTTTACTCATGATGCGTCAGGACACACAGCCGTGCGTGACTGCCGGATTCACACGCAACGCCGTAAGCAGTATGACCCCGCCCACCACCTTCTTCTCCCTCCTTTTCTTTGCCGCGTGACGGACTTTTGCACGCACGCTTGCGCGTCGGCGTGGCGCCACGAGGTCGAAGTGTACCCCGCACGCCCATCAGTGGCGCGCCGGGGAATGGAACTGACCGAGAGCACGTGGCGTTGGGGATGCCGAGTGGGCGCCGATGATGACGCTGACCCTGCTCCGCTACTGACGCTGTGACGGTGATACGAGACTCTTCAGGGCTTCTGACGTGCGCCTTCGCCGCGGCTCCCCAACCCCATCCCCATCCCCTCCACTTTCCCCCTCCCCTCAATGCA